CCCTAGCGGTTACGAGTTTGCTGTTCATATTTCTCTTGAAGTATTCTCTGCCATAAATGTTACATTGTCATGTGCTCAAAAGGCAAATTACCACATCCTGGCTGGGCTTTCTGTAGTTCCCATGTTTTGATACGTGGGATGATGCATTAGTGATAGGAAAGGTCAAGAGCCTGACGTGCTGATATTCCTGTCCTCACTCGAGAGAAAAAGGGTATTGTCATTTAGTTGTTCCTATGAGATAAGATCCCTCCATGAGAGTTTCCCAACATGTCACAAGTTTGTTGCACAACCATTAGCATTGTTGAAATCAATAGATAAATCATAGGAATTGAGATTTCTGGATGCTACACGCTTACTGATAATAATTCCCTAGTTAGTATTCAAGTAGCTCTCTATCTTCTGTATATTTAATCTCACAATCCTCCTGCTGCTGCCCACGGGGAAGGAAAGCACCACTCAGCCCAGTTTGTATCTAGAGAAAAGACAGAAGGAGGTATTCAGGCGCTTTATTAAATGCCTAAGTTGCCCAAGTGTAATGCATTTTACATTCAGAAATAACTGAAAATGCATAAAAAGCTTTGAGAGTGGAGCCAGCATCCAGAAATTGCACTCTCAGTGGAGTGTCCCCAGCATGAGGTTACAGCCCCTGCCTTTATCTTAATGTATTTTCTTCTGGCCTCATGAATCCTGCAGTGGCCCAACTTCAGCAGGGGACGGAGAACGGTCCCACCGTGGGTTACAGGATAGCCTGGTGGTTGGGACATCTCCTCGGGTTTGGGGTCAATGTGTTACAGTCCCTGAGAGCTGAAGTCTCACGGTCTCAGCTTCCCAGTGGAGGCCACAGGAAGACAAACAGGTTGGCGCGATTCTCACCAGAACGTACCGGGGGGGAAAGGAACATTGCGACATTTCAGAAAAAGAGATTTGAACTGAAGGGCGTTACTCAATTGTACTCCACTAACCAGAATATGTGGAAATGTTTTATATTTAAACTGTTGACTGTTAGAACAGTTTTCATCAAAATGTGGCTGGAAGACTGTCAAACAGATGTGCACGAAGAAATCTTAATTATGCAGTGTTTTTCTTTGGCCTGAGAGGCTTCAGTGTGTGATTTTTGGCCTGGCGCTGGGTGACTCTATGTGTGGCTGGGCACGAATTCTTGCCGTTCTGCTCCCTGTCAAGCCACAGGCTCTGAAGGGTGATTTGTTCTAGCTGCGCAAGCCCAGTGGGTCATCAAGGCTTAGGCAGGCCAGGTGTATGGCCGTTGGGATATCCTGTTCTTCCAGCTTGATTAACGCTGTTCTCTATTTGGACTGTTAAGGAGTTTTCCCCACAGTAAGAACACTAACTGAAGATCTGTTCCCAGAGGTTTGCTAGTTTGGGCAACGTGGCTTTAGGCTCTTTGTGTGTCAGTATTGTGCAAAAGCCCTAATAAAACTGCTGTTCTGAAGTGTTTGTGCTGACACCCTGATCTGTTCCTCCGCAGTGCGTGCCTTGGTGCAGGGGCAGGATTCCCACCAGTGTTAAGGGG